GGCATGTCCTTATGAAGTTCTAGTGTGGAGAGGGAGACACATGGCTGGGTCTAATCCTTCCCTGAACCCTTTCTTGGAAATGTGGCTGGGATCTAAGGAAGGAGCCCTGAATACTTTTTAGCACATTATTGGTGGTGAGCAACCCCTCAAGGACAAAGTGAGTCATCTTGGGGCTAGATAGGTACTCTCTGTCTCTGGGCCTCTCTACCCTCTTTTCCTACATCTCTCTCCTTTACTTACCCTGTGTTCCTTTCCATTCTTCTTCCTTTCCCCATCTATACCCCTGGGCCCTCCTGTTCCTCCACTCTATCCCAGCCCAGAGTCAGAGGCTCAAGAACACTGGAGAGATGCAGGTGGACAGCTGCCATCTAACTGTCCAGATGACAGGGTGGGGGCACCAAGGTTCTCTGGTGGCCTCTGCTCTGGCCTGGCCCGCCCCCTGTCAAGGCTGAGGATGACTCAGGGCCCAGCTGTCACCTCAGCAGCACGCATCGTCGTCGCCTAGTGATGGCGGTCTCCCAGCAACGGTTGTCTCCTAGCAATGGGATATTTTCCCCTGGCCCTGGCTGGAGCCGGTGGCTATTTTTAGCTCAGCTTCAAATCAATCAGCAGCTGCATTTTGGACTCCTCAGGAGATACAAGGTGTTACAGGGTGGGCTTCTCAACAAAAAATGAAAAAAATAAACAGATAGAAATCTTAATGCCAGACCCTTGAAGTGCTGGGCTGGCAGCTATGATTATGTCCTGGATGAGGTCTCTGTGTTCAAGGGGCTGATGGCTGAATCACCCTGAAGCTGCTAATGTCCAGCTGGGTACAGTAACCAAAGGCAGTGCTCACACTGGGTGCCACTGGTGCATTTTACAGGGTCCCCGGTATCCCCTGCCCATCAGTTGTAGGAACTGTCTCCTTTGTTCACACCCAGCAGCCCCACCCATGCTCAGTCCTGGCTGTAAGGGTCCTGGTGTCACAGGTGTAGTAGCTAGGGACAAAGAAGGGTCTCTGGTCAGCTGCATCTAGTGCCCATCTGGCTCCAAGTGAAATTTGAGATCTGTGAAGAGAGGAGTCTTGGGCAGGCAGGAGACTTGTTATCCTTTTTTGGTTTTCTCACAAGATCAGGGAGAAACCTAAATTCACCCACTGCCATAAGCCTAGGGAGATGACCCTGCTATCTTTCCCATTTATATATTTTGTGGTTGTGTTTGTTCAAAGCTCTATGGTCCTGGGGCCATCATGTCTCTAACCCCTGTCAACCCTCCTACTTGTATCTCTTTCCCAAATCGCCTCATTAGATGGCCTGTTCGTTGTGAGTCAGCGGCATGTCTGCCATCAACTCTCCTGCTGCATGTTGGGGCTGCCTATCCTCTGCTCTCAGGGTCTGGCACACTGTGGGCATGGCATCAATGTCCTGAACCTGCAAAGGCCTGTATTACAGGGGACAGCCATGACTGGAGATGGGCAGCCTGAGTGGTGACACTTGAAATAACAACTGAGGCCTCCCTCTGCTGCTGCCCACCACATCCTATGAAGTGCAGTACAAGGCCCCGGGGAAGCCAGGACAGGAAACAGGTGTCAGGATGGTTTCCAGCTTGGATAATCCTTGTGATGGCTTATCTTGGTTGTCAACTTAATACACTTGGGAAGAGAGAAACTCAATTGAGGAATTTCCTCCATCAGATTGGCCTGTGGGACATGTTTTTGAGGCATTTCCCTACCTCAGAGCACCTCTCTCTCAATCCTCAATCTCTCTCTCTCTCTATATATATATATATTCAATAATAAAATAATAATAATAATAATAATAATAATAATAATAATAATAGAAAAAGAGGCTTCTTAAGACAGGGTTTCTCTGTGTGTAACCTTGACTGTCCTGGAACTCACTCAATAGAGCAGGCTGGCCTCGAACTCAGAGATTCACCTGAATTGGCATTTTCTTATTTCATTTTTTTAAAGATTTATTATGTGTACAACATTCTACCTGCATGTATGCCCACATGCCAGAAGAGGGCATCAAATCTCATCATAGATGGTTGTGAGCCACTATGTGGTTGCTGGGAACTGAAGTCAAGACCTATGGAAGAGTAGAGCTCTTAGCCTTATAGGAGGACTCAGCCTACTGTGGGAGATGCTATTCTTGGGTAGGTGGACAAGCCAGAGAGAGCAGGCCAATAAGCAGCATTCCTCAATGGTCTCTTCTTCAGTTCCTGCCCTGACTTCCTTCAATAATGGACTGTGATATGGAAGTATAAAAATAAACTTTTTACTCCCCAATTTTGTTTTGATCAGTGTTTTGCCATAGCAACAGAAAGTAACTAGAAAACCCTCTTTGGGTCAAAGGTCTTGAGATTCTGTGGCTGTTGGCTAAAGCCAGGCAAATTAGCAGTTTGGAGCAATCATTCTGGTCTCTAGTCTTCTACAGGAGGCCACAAGCTTCCATGTACCATTTCCCAACTTCTTGAAGTACACCTGTGTTTGATCTGAGTTCCTTTTGTGGTTTTTGTTCTGACTTATGTAGGATTAATAACCCATCCCTTAAGGTAAGGGCACTAAATTTTGAGACACTCAAGGAAACTCCCAACCAGAGCATAAATAGGTTAAGAGTTACCCAGGATTTGGGGTGCCCTCATTTGCTCCCTTTCCTCTGGGTTTCTATCTAAAGCACCTATACCAGGTATGCTGGATCCTGGGGCTAGTCATGGTTTTCTGGGACCTATGCCCATGGACAGCAGTGTTCTGACAGCTAATGATGCTCAAATGTCCTTTCCCTGACAATTGTAGGAGAGGCATCTGCCCTGCTCTTCTCCCAGGGTAATAGAATCATTGTTATGTCGTTTAAAGATGAAGATGGGGAGGGAAAAGTCTAATATAGAGATTCAGGTCAGATGAGAGCTTCTCTCAGGCCAGGTTACCTCTTGGAGTCCCTCTATTGCTAGGCTTCTAGTCATTTCTCCTGGAGAAGGCTAGGGTGGGGAGTTAACTCCCTGAAACTGGCCAGCTCATGTTCCATGTCACCATTAGAGGGCGCCTGCAGACTACTGTCTGCCTCAGAGGCCTGGGCTGAGGAGACCGCCAAATAACCAAAGTGCCCTGCAACCTCTTAGGCCTGGACAGCTGCAGTTGACCCCTGGACATCCAAAGTTGTCCCAGGTGTCCTGTGTCCGTCTGTAAATGCCTTGGCATCTGCTACGATTTCATCATGTTGTGTGACGTCTTTTTTTTTTTTTCTTTCGAGACAGGGTTTCTCTGTATAGCTTTGGAGCCTATCCTGGCACTTGCTCTGGAGACCACGAGATCCGCTTGCCTCTGCCTCCCAAGTGCTGGAATTAAAGGAATGCACCACCAACGCCCGGCATGTCTTTTAATTGAAAATATTTTATTTATGATTTATTTTTCATTTATATTTTAACTTTGTGTGTGTGTGTGTGTCCCCGTGTGTGCCCATGTGTGCATGCATGTGAGTACATGTGCCTGTGGAGATAAGAGTCATTTAATCTCCTGAAGCTGGAGTTATATGCTGTTGTGGTCCTCTTGATATGGATGCTGGGAACACATGCCCTGTTTCCTCTGTAAGCTAAGTAACATGTTCTTAACTGCTGAGCCATCTGTCCAGTCTATTTTATTTTATTATTATTCGTTTGTTTTTTCCAGACAGGGTTTCTTTGTGTAGCATTGGAGCCTATCCTGGAACTCACTCAGTAGCCCAGACTGGCCTGGAACTCACAGAGATCCACCTGCTTCTGCCTCCCAAGTGCTGGGATTAAAGGCGTGCACCACCACCACCCGGCTTGTTTTTTCTTTTAAGAGGGTCTCATGTAGCCCACCTAGACTGGCTTTGAACTCACTACGTAGCCAAGGATGACCTTGAACATCTGCTCTCCTTCCTCTACCTCCTGAGTGCTGGGATTACAGGCATGACCCACTACAATCAGTTCAACATTATTTAGAAGATCAAACCCAGGGCTTCATGCCTGACTAGCAGGCACTGAATAACCTAGTCACATTCCGCAGACCTCCCAAAATTCTGTTTCAGTTGATCTTGCAGGATCTGCACTGTGGCATCGACAAGTACTTCCAGAGTTTGTTTCCAGGCTGTGCATCCCCAGGCAGGTATTCAGAGTGCCTCGTTTTTCATATTCATTTAACACTCACAAAGTGTGCAGGTGGGTTTGAAAAAGTATGGTGCAGAAGAAGACCCACCCTGGCCATGCTGCGCCTTGCACTTCTTCCCCAAACCCAAGGCTTGGCTTAGCTCCATGACCCAGAGCCTAGGCTAATCAGGACCCTCTGTACCCTCCCTTGTGGGACGCAGGGACACATGCGTTCTAATCCCTCTTCCCCGGAGTACCAGCAACAGGGAACCAGAATTCAGATGTTGGCTGCAGACGCCATTCCGTCTCTCAGGAAGGGACAGTCCTACTGCCTACTGACGTCCATTGATTGAAGGCCAAGTGAAGTGAGCAGCCTTCCAGATTCCAGTCGACAGCGACAACCCCCCCACCCCCCGCCACCCACCAAAGGTCCCAGGGTACTGGAGATCGCCAAATGGGGAGAGAAGACCGCTACATACTCCAACCCAGTCCTGGACCGCGCTCCCGCCTTCAGCCTGCCCCGCCCCCACGAGGGCGCTGCAATTGGCGGAAAGTTCTGGGGCTTGTGGCAATTG